TCAGGAGGGGTCTGAAATTTTCATCTTAGCTGCATGTCTACTGTGAGAGAAAAAAATCCACAAATCACAATGTATGATTTTTTATAATTTATTTGTGTGTTACTGCTGCAAATAAGTATTTGAACACCTGTGAAAATCAATGTTAATATTTGGTACAGTAGCCTTTGTTTGAAATTACAGAGGTCAAATGTTTCCTGTAGTTTTTCACCAGGTTTGCACACACTGCAGCAGGGATTCTGGCCCATTCCTCCACACAAATCTTCTCTAGATCAGCCAGGTTTCTGGGCTTTCGCTGAGAAACACAGAGTTTGAGCTTCCTTCAAAGATTTTCTATAGGGTTAATGTCTGGAGACTGGCTAGGCCACTCCAGAACCTTGATATGCTTCTTACGGCGCCACTTAGCTTTGTAGAGATCTAGTAGAGTGCTGTGTGAATAGGTAAATGAGGGCACAGATTGTAGTGTCAAGCGCTTTGAATATCTTGATCAGATAGAAAGGCGCTATATAAGTTCAGTCCATTTACCATTTACTCCTTGGTAGGAATGTGCGATATGGCATAAAGTTCATATCACAATATGTATTGTGAAGGGTGGCGATAACGATATATATCGCAATATGTTTTGGGTATAATACTTAATAGGAATTTTTTTTAATTTTTTTTAAAGCACAGGATAATTAGAGAACCAACCAATGGTGTGTTCTGAGAAAACGATTTCTGAGAGTTTATGACAAGATGTTATGATCCACAGTGTCAAAAGCTTTAGACAGGTCTAAGAAAAGTGCAGCACAATAATCCTTAGCATCATAATCCTTTGCTATCATATATTTTGAATTAAAAAAATTCCACTACTAGATCCAGAGAGTTTTTCAATAATAAACAAATCAAGTATTAGGCTTTTTTCTTATAGTGCAAAACAGTGCAAAAAATATCAAATGTAGTTTTAGCCATATGTTTTAAACAAAAGAATATATTGTTAACTTAACAGTTTCCAGTCTTCGCACTTTGCACCCGTCGGCCACCGTAAGAAATGAACAGGAACAGAGCAGCATTTTACACTGAAAACACTTCACCCTCCAACCCTCTAGTGGGCGACTCCTTCCGCTTTAATGGAGAGCTGACACAAAATGAGTCTGTGGCTTTGACCAGAGGGTCTCGCAGTAAAATCACACAACACAGCGTTCTTTTCACAGATCAGAGAGCAAGTTTTTCTAAAGCTGACCAACGCTTACTTTAACTTATGATGGGGGAAAAAAAAAAAAAACTTTTGACGGAACACAGCGTTTTGCGCATGCATCAGAATACGGCAACTCTACAGCAAGCCGGCTGTAGTTAGCTTGTAGCTTTGTTACTTAGCTCTTGAAGAAAATACTTTAACGCCACTTGCGCACAGTTTTCAACTAAAAAAAATTAACGATTAAATCTGACCGCTCTGATTTTACATCAGACACAGCATTACTGCGGTTAGCCGGTAGAAGGCAAATCTCTATTGTAGGCTAAATTTCTATCGTTTCTACCGTATACCATATATATCGCACATTCCTACTCCTTGGTTCTCCTGGCTGTGTGCTTCGGGTCGTTGTCATGTTGGAAGACCCAGCCACGACCCATCTTCAATGCTCTTTACTGAGGGAAGGAGGTTGTTCCCCAAAATCTCGGAGTACATGGCCCCGGTCATCCTCTCCTTAATACAGTATAGTCGTCCTGTCCCATGTGCAGAAAAACTCCCACAAAGCATGATGCTTCCACCCCCATGCTTTACAATAGGGATGGTGTTTTTGGGATGCTACTCATCATTCTTTCTCCTCCAAACACGGCAAATGGAATTAAGACCAAAAAGTTCTATTTTGGTCTCATCTGACCTCATCACTTTCTCCCATGACTCCTCTGGATCATCCAAATGGTCACGGACAAACTTAAGACAGGCCTGGACGTGTGCTGATTTAAGCAGGGGCACCTTCCGTGCCATGCATGATTTTAAACTATGACGTCTTAGTTTATTACCCACAGTAACCTTGAAAACAGTGGTGCCAGCTCTCTTCAGGTCATTGACCAGCTCCTCCTGTGTAGTTCTGGGCTGATTCCTCAACTTTCTTAGGATCACTGACACACCACGAGGTGAGATCTTGCATGGAGCCCCAGTCCGAGGGAGATAGACAGTCATGTTTAGCTTCTTCCATTTTCTAATAATTGCTCCAACAGTTGATTTTTTTCACCAAGCTGCTTGACAATTGCCCCGTAGCTCTTTCCAGCCTTGTGGAGGTCTACAATTTTGTCTCTGGTGTCTTTGAACAGCTTTTTGGTCTTAGCCATTGTAGCGGGAAGGGTTAATAATGATTAAAAATTCGTTATGAATTTCATTTTGATGGGGCATCATTCTCAGCTCTGAGAAAATCTGATGGTCTGAAAATCAATTCAGATGTTATTGTTTAATTACCTCGAATTACCCTTTTTACTCCATGAGTTCTTTTATATGAAGGATTCAGATGTCATAAATAAAACACACACACTTTAATACAATTTTGTGATGTTTATTTGATTATATATGATAAAAGAACTGTTGAAAATTATTTCTGACATTTAAATGAAGACTTTGTTCACAACCATAGTTTTATGGAAATTAATGTGACCGTAAAAAATTACTTGTTAGCAGGAATTAATAGATAAAATTAATTTATTCTGGGTGATTATTCAAACCAAAAACGAGATGAAATGCGAATCTTTGGAATTTTCAACAGGCAGATTAATTATGCAAATTTAACTAAAAGAAAGACGTTTTATCGTTCAGTAGTTAAAATTTGGTCTGAAATTTAAGGAAAACTAATTACTGAACTGAGTTTATACTAATTTGGTTAAAATCTAAAATCTTGGACACCAGAGTCAACCTTCAGAGTATCAAATCAGCTGTTCCTACCAGAAGTCGTCTTCGAACGTCCGCCTGAAGAGACCAGATATTGGACTCTTTCTGCTGAGATAATCTTTGATGTAAAGGTGGAAATTCTTTCACATCTCTGGCATTAAGGCGATGAGTTTGATCACTGGCTCTAATGGTCAACCGGGGCATCTCCTGGAGTTTTGGACTGCTGTTGTTAATTAACTCTGTTGATGACAACTGCATGTGTCTGGAGCGCCGAAGAGGGTTCTGTCAAACTTTGCTAAAGTTCAATCTTCTTAGTGGAAGTTTTTGTAGGTTGTGTCTTAAAAGCTTACTCCTTCTCTTCTTCTTCTCTCTCATTCAACTTCTTCTCTTTCTCCTCCAAATTCATCTTCTCCTTTCATCTGAGAGGTCTTCCTCTCTTGTAAACAACTGACCACACCTCTGATTTGAAAGAGGTGGTCGATCAGAATGGAAGGGCTGAACAAAAAGTAATCAAATAACAATATTTAAGACACTTATCAACTTTAAATGAGGTTAAAGAAACCAATAAAGACACTTTGTTAATCTTGTAAACAGAAAACACTTTTGCAAACTTTTGGGCTACGCAGGTTCTTGTCAGCTGTAGGAGAAAAAACAAGGCAAGTTATTAAGTTATTCCCAGTAAACAATTATTTCATTACAGAAAAACATTATTACTTCTTCCAGAATGTGAATGTGAAGTGTCAGTTTTCTGCATGCAGGAAAGGGGACCCAAGTGTCAGGCTGGAATTCCTTTGAACAGAGACAAGGCTTTTCGGTTATTTACGATCGTTGAAGGATAGTTTGGTTGGAGGTTGGTACAAGGTGATACCAGGACATCCTGGGTGATCTGCGTTTACTCAAACATACATTTTTGGGGTTCACAGAAAGGGCGTTCCAAGATTATTCAGATTTATTGGATCTTCGGTTGTCTTGCAAACCATAAAAGTCTCTTTTGATACTTTCCAGAGTTAGAGATGCTGAGAACAAAGTTTAAACTGTCCCAGGGTCTGAAACGGGGGTGGAATGTCTCAGTTGTTCAAGGGAGAGGAGTTTCTTTTTTTTTCTTTTTCAGAGACATCTTTACAGAATGAACTACTCAGTTACCAGAAATAAAAGTGTGTTATAAAATGACATTCAGGGATGCAGGTATATCTCTACACCACGTTAGTAGTTGGAGTCTTACTGATTGTGTGGGGTGGACAGGTGTCTTTATGCAGCTAACGACCTCAAACAGGTGCTTCTAATGTAGCATAATAAGTGGAGTGGAGGTGGACTTTTTAGAAGTGGACTAACAGGTCTTTGAGGGCCAGAATTGTTGCTGATTGGCAGGTGTTCAAATACTTATTTGCAGCAGTAACGCACAAATAAATTTTTAAAAAATCTTACATTGTGATTTCCAGATATTTATTTTTAGATTATGTCTCTCACAGTGGACATGCACCTAAGATGAAAATTTCAGACCCCTCCATGATTTCTAAGTGGTAGAACTTGCAAATACTTATTTTCTTCACTGTATATGTATGTATGTATATATGTATGTATGTATGTATGTATGTATGTATGTATAGTTTATTTTGATCATTTTAATAATCTTTATTATTTTTATTTTACCATAAACTTCAAAATAACTTCTCACCCTGTACTAAAACCTGTTTCAGGGTCTTACCACCAGTTGGTAAGGCACGTGACATCAATTTTTGAACTCTGAACTTGCCCTCTAGAATTGTTACTGAAAGTATAATGGAAACACAACTCGTATCGAGCCAAGTCGAGTCGAACCGTGCTGTACTGGTAGTAAAGATACTAATGGAAAAGAGGAATATTTTTCTCTTTATATGCTATTTTTAGCTTTTAGCCATATTCTGGCTAGTTTGAGCTTTTTGCTTGGGTTTTAGTAATTTTAGCTTTTAGGTACACTTTAGCTAATTGTAGTTTCTGTTCTGCTTGTTTCAACTCTAACAGTTCATTTAACAAGTATTTTTTCAACAAAGTTCAGCAAAGTCGTTCAGCACTACACTGCATTTACACAGAAATTGCAAATGCTTGAAAGAAAACATACTAAAATAAATAGAAATGTAAATTAAACTTTCCTCTCTTTTCACAGGCAGCCAATCCAGGTTGTGTTCTGGAGGACTTTGTGCGCTGGTACTCGCCAAGGGATTACATAGAGAAGGAGGAGGTCGATGAAAAGGGGAATAAAGTTGTCACAGGAGAGCTTAGTGCAAGAATGAAAATCCCGGGCAACATGTGGGTGGAGGCATGGGAGATAGCCAGGATTACACCTGCACGTCGCCAGAGGAGACTCTTTGATGACACTAAGGAGGCAGAAAAGGTATTTTTTACATTTTATAAACAATAGACCAGGGCTATTAAACTGGCAGCCTGCGAGCCATTTCCGGCCCACTTCATAAAAAAAAAAAAATAATAATAATAATTTTTTGGGGGTTGGTTCTGGGTTTGGGTTTTGGGTTCTAGTTATTGCATTTATGATTCAATGCAATAAAATAAACAAATTTAAAAGGTAACGGATCATTTTAAACTATGGTTTATTTATATTAACGATTTTAATCGCTGGATGTCTGGCCTCGAGCTGTGGCTTTCAGAAACTGCGGCCCCCTGAGCAGTTTTGTTGAATAGTCCTGCAAAAGACTGATAGTTGACACTAAAAACATTAGCAATCATAGAAGTCAGGTGCATGATGCTATGGGCAGTGGCCAAAGACGGGGACCTTGACGCTCTGACCCTGGCTTACCAAAGCTGGCTCTTGGGACATGGAATGTAACCTCTCTGGCAGGGAAGGAGCCTGAGCTTGTGCGTGAGGTTGAGAGGTAACGACTAAATATAGTTGGGCTCACCTAGACACACAGCATGGGCTCTGGAACCAATCTCCTTGAGAGGGGCTGGATCTTATTCCACTCTGGAGTTGCACATGGTGAGGGGCGTCGAGCTGGTGCGGGTCTACTTGTAACCACCCAACCTGGTGCCTGTATGTTGGAGTTTTCCCCAGTAGATGAGAAGGTGACTTCCCTTCGCCTTCGGGTGGGGGGACAAGCTCTGACTGTTGTTTGTGCCTATGCGCCGAACTGCAGTTCAGTGTATCCGGCCTTCTTGGAGTCCTTGGCAGGGGTGCTGTCAGGTGCGCCAGCTGGGTACTCCTATATTCTGCTGGGGGATTTCAATACCCATTTGGGTAATGACAGTGTGTCCTGGAGGGGCGTGATTGGGAGGAATGGCCTCTCTGATCTGAACCCGAGCAGTGTTCTGTTGTTGGACTTCTGTACTAGTCATAGTTTGTCCATCACGAACACCATGTTCAAACATAAGGGTGTCCATAAGTGCATTTGACACCAGGATGCCCTAGGTTGTAGATTGATGATTGACTTCATGTTTGTGTCATCTGATTTGTGGCCGTTTGTTTTGGACACTCGGGTGAAGAGAGGAGCTGAGCTGTCAACTGATCACCACCTGGTAGTGAGTTGGAAGATGCCTGACAGACCCGATAGACCCAAACATGTAGTGAGGGGTTGCTGAGAACGCCTGGCAAAAGAACTTGTCAGAGAGATCTTCAACTCACACCTCCAGGAGAGCTTTAACCGCATCCCAGCTGAGGTGGGGGACATTGAGTCCGAGTGGGCCATGTTCCGCGCCTCGCTTGTTGAGGTAGCTGCCTTGAGCTGTGGCCGCAAGGTTGTTGGTGCTTCTCGCTGTGGCCATCCACAAAACTCGGTGTTGGACACACCGGGTTAGGGAGGCTGTCAAGCTGAAGAAGGAGTCCTATTGTGCCTTGTTGGCCAGTGGAACTCTGGAGGCAGCTGAGGAGTACTGGAGGGCCAAGCGGTGTGCAGCCTTGGCTGTTGCTGAGGCAAAAGCTCGGATGTGGGAGGAGTTTGGTGAGACCTTGGTTAGAGACTCTCAGTCGGCTCCGAGGAGATTCTGGCAAACCATCAGGCGGCTGAGGAGGGGAAAGCAGCACTTCACTAACACTGTGTTCAGTGAAGGTGGGGTGCTGTTGACCTCAACTAGTGATGTCATTGGGAGGTGGAAGGAATACTTCTCGGACCTTCTCAATTCCACTAGCACGTCTTCGATGGAGGAAGCTGAATCGGACGACTTTGGGGTTGTTCGGTCCATAACCGCGGCTGAGGTTGCCGAGGTAGTTAAAAAGACCCGAAGCGGCAGGGCTCTGGGAGCGGATGAGATTCACCCTGATTTCCTTAAGGCTCTGGATGTTGTGGGACTGTCTTGACTGACACGCCTTTGCAACCTTGCATGGACATCGGAGGCAGTGCCACTGGATTGGCAGACTGAGGTGGTGGTTCCCCTCTTCAAAAAGGGGGACCAGAGGTTGTGCTCCACTTATCACTCATCACTCTCCTTAGCCTCCCTGGTAAGGTTTATTCAGGGTTACTGGAGAAGCGAGTCCGATCGTTGGTCAAACCTCATATCCAGGAGGAACAATGTGGGTTCCGTCCTGGCCATGGAACACTGGATCAGCTCTTTACCCTCTAGGGTCCTTGAGGGGTCATGGGAGTTTGCCCATCCAGTCTACATGTGTTTTTTGAACTTGGAAAAGGCATTTGATCGTGTTCCTCGGGGTACACTTTGAGGGGTGCTCCGTGAGTATGGGATTGGAGGCCCGTTGTTACGTGTTGTTCAGTCCCTATACAAGCGGTGCGAGAGTTTGGTTCGCATTGCGAACTTATAGATAGGGTGAGAAGTTCAGTTATCTGGGAGTGACTCGGAGTAGAACCACTACTCCTTCACATCAAGAGGAAGCAGTTGAGGTGGTTCGGGATTCTGGTAAGGATGCCCCCATGGCGCCTCCCTAGGGTAGTGCTAGGGTAGTGCTTTGGACATGTCCAACTGGGAGGAGACTCCGGGGAAGACCCAGGACACGCTGGAGAGACTATGTCTCTCGGTTGGCCTTGGAACACCTTGGAATCCTCCCAGAAAATCTGGAAGAGGTGGCTGTGGAAAGAGATGTCTGGGCCTCCCTGCTCAAGCTGCTGCCCCCGCTACCCGGCTTCGGAATAAGCGGAAGTTAATGGATGGATGGATGGAATCAAAAGAGGTTTTATCTCTCACCCTTCAAATTAGTTTTACACAGTCCTGTTCCCCTGGTTCTGTAAATATTACCCATTCCCATGTTCCAGGACATCTGATTCTTATAAGTATGTTGATTTGTACTGCTTTCTCACGTTCCTCAGAGCCCAAGAATGACAAGAATTGTGGTAGTTTATTTAAAATGTGGCATATTAAAACAAAATTAGCAAGTCACATTTAAAGCTACTTCCATACAGTCCAGTTTACTCTTTTCCGTATCCACCTTTCTATTACCCTTTCATATACTTAGATGGATGTTTTTATGCTATTAGTGCTTAGCATATTTTTAGTTAATGTTTTTTTTAGTTCATATCTTAGTTCTTGTTACTGCTTTTCTTTTACATTTTATTGTTGGATGTAACTGGGACCCTGTGTACATAATCTCGTTCCACCCCATGTACCATATGGGGTGCATATGACAAATAAAGAAACTCAGACTCTGAACAGTGGAAACTAATTTATGTGCATTTTTTTGTTTGTTTGTTTCTTTAGGTTTTGCATTATTTGGCTTTGCAGAAACCTGGTGACTTGGCTCGTCATTTGCTCCCCTGTTTGCTCCACGCTGCCATTCAGAAGTTGAAGCAGGAAGGTGAGACCTATTATTGTACACCATTGCAAAGTGAAGAGGTGAAATTGGAAATATCCTCCATCCATCCGTCCGTGTTGTAAGCAAGATAACTTGAAAAATAAGTGATACTGACTTCTGTTTAAGTGTGTGGCTACATCTATTAATTTTATACAGATATTTCAGACCACCTTCTTGTTTTTCAGTTTTCGTCCATAATTAACAAGCAGTCTACAAATAAATCAGAGACCTTACTTTAGAAATTTCAATGAAAGTAACATTAACAACTTCTCAAATATATTAAGCAAAGATGGAAACATGGGAAACAGTATGTGACGCTTCTGATGTGAATGTGGCCTATAATTTTTTTTACACAATTTCATTCTGTTTTTGACAAATGTTTTCCTCTGATTTCTAAAGGTAAAGGAAGATCTATTAACTTAAACAAACCATGGTTTACTGTAGAACTTAGGAAATCTACTGTAAAGAAAAATAAGTTATATAAAAGATATTTGTTAAACCCTAGTCCTTTCATCAAATAATTCAAAATCTACATGGGACATTTTAAAAGTACTACTCGATAAGAAAAATACCTCTACTCCATCTCAGGCTTCATTTCAGGATGCACTTCGATCATAACAGATAAAACACAAATTGCTAATGAATTTAATTTTTTTTTTTTTTTTTATAAATGTGAGACCACACCTTGCAAAGCATATTGATAATATTTCTGATTCTCCTTCTAACTTTATAAATGAAGATGATCCCTCTTTAAATACATTTGACCCAATAAAACCTTTAAAAGTACTTGATATCATTAAGAATCTTAAACTCTTCTGCTGGCCACGATGAAATTACAGCCTTTCTTATCAAAAAAGTTGCACCTATAATTGTTGTTCCTTTAACATTTATTTTTTTCCATGTCACTTGAATCTGGTATTATCCCACAAGATCTAAAACTTGCTAAGGTTTTCCCGCTGTTTAAAGCTGATGACCCATCTGTATTTTCAAATTATCGTCCCATATCAGTTCTCCCGTGCTTTTCCAAGATACTTGAGAGGTTGGTGTATTCTAGAATCTTGAGGCATCTTGATGCCAACAATATTTTGTATGAGCATCAGTATGGCTTTAGAAAGAATTGTTCTACATATATGGTTCTCTTGCATCTTAGAGAAAATATTTCAACTGGTTTTGAGAAAAATTATAATGCGCTAGGAATTTTCTTAGACTTATCAAAAGCTTTTGACACTGAATTACAAAATTTTATTATCAAAAATGTCTTGTTATGGTTTAAAAAATAAGGTTCTGAAATGGGTTGAAAATTATTTTCACAACAGAGCAAATTGTAATTTTTAATAGTGTGTGTATACATATCT